GCCCCTATGATTGCTTGAAAGAGGTGCTGAAGTTGGTTATTCAATACAAAGCATGTATTCTCTCTCTCCCCCTCTTTCTCTCCCTCTCGCTCGGAGTCCTGATTAGTCTTACCCCAGGCTGAAACAGTAAAGGGCCTTAGAAACAATTTATTTCCAGATTAAAGCCCAAGTTCTGATGTTCCTGAGATGTTGAAATGCCAACACATATGACCGAGATCAAATCTAGGCCAGGGACGGACTGATGCCTCCAGTGCAACTGACCTCGTACAATGGCGAACAGTCAAATCTTTTCAACAATGACCAAGCCCGATTCTCTAATCCATCCGCCCAGCCAACAAGGAGGCTTCGTACACGAAGGCAGTCAATGGCCGCAATGGAGAAAATTTGCACGTGGGGCGAAGGGGCGATTATTATGATGCTCATCAACAAAACTTCAATGCAATGCCCGATATCTTGCTTGAGGTACTGTCATGATTTCCACCCTAGATGATTCCCATATCATGCATTCAATCCTGAGTTCCACCCCTCGTGAGTAGAGTGCCCAATCCAGACCATAGACCTCTCCATTACCTGCACCCATTCACCCGGGGTATCTAATGTTCCCACCTGAACAACGCATCTTCTTCTTTTCTCTCTCTCCGCTGAATCATGGAGTCGACACTCCCTTCCAGTCCAAACTCGCCTGCCGGCCATATGGAAAGGCCTTACATCCCTACACCTAGACCCTCTCTTCGCCAGACCTACTTGAGCTGCTTGAGAATCTCCGTCAGGAAGTCCTCAAAGCTGAGGGTGATGTAACCGTCTCTGTCGTCATCGTACTTCTTGAACACGTCCGTCATGCGCTTCAAGGAAATGCAAGCCTGGACGAAGAGATCAAAGGACATGACACCTTCTCCGCGCTTGTCGTACGTCCGGAAGAGAAGCTCAACGAAACCGGGACTGAGACGATAGCGGAAAGCGACGAGGGCGTTGGTGAACTCGCCGAGGGAAATGTTTCCAGATCGGTCGGCATCGAATCGGTCAAACAGAGTGCGCCACGACGCAAGGAAGGACCAGAGGCCGCAAAACTCGGCGAATCCAATAGTGCCACTGCGGTCGGAATCGAACATGCGGATCATCATGCGAACTGTCTGTGGGTCGAAAGCAGTCCAGTCACCGTTGACGAGAGCAGTTGACAGCTCCCGCTCGGACAGCTGGCCAGTGCCTGTAGATAGTCATTAGTTGGCGGTCGTTGCAGAAGGGCGTCGGCAGCATCACTCACCATCCTTATCGACCGCTCGGAATAGGGGCAGCAGTGTCGGATCTGCGCCGTCTGCGCTCATATCAGGAGCGGGAGAAGGAGGCGGCCGGGAGTTGGGGGGTGGCCGAGGCTGGGCGTTCGGGCGGGGGTTGCCCGTCGGGGGAGGAGAGCTGACGCCGTACATGTTGGGGCTGGGCCGGCGGTGGTCGTTCCGAGGATCGGGACGGTGGTACTCGTCGCGAGGGACGGCTGGAAGCTTGTTTTCGTAGCGAGGCTGAGAGTGTTGCTGAGGATGCTGCTGGGAAGGCTGCTGGGAAGGTGCCGGGGCAGCGCCACCCTTCTATGATGGGAATGTTAGTTTATCTGCAAGATGCGCGATCCAGGGGGGTGACCGATGCCGATGGGATGAATGGAGTAGAAAGGTCGTCAGGTGACCGGAGGCCGAGGGCGCAAACGTACCTGTTCGGGTTCCGCGAACCTAGGAGGGGGTTAGCATGGCGGGGTAAAGAAGGAGATTGGGTAGTTAGGCCATGAACAATGGGCTAGGTGAATGGTGTGTTGTGCAACGTACCTTGGAAGTTCATCGGGATTGTAGGGTCTGTTGTACGCCATTGCGAAAATTGGTGCGGATTCGGAGCAAGCAAAAGTTCAAGAGAAGAAAGAGAAGGGTCTTTGGAGGCGAGACTGGATTGAGGCTCCTGGGGTATATGAAGCTGGCGGGGTGGGGGGGGGGGATTACTGTGGGCAGAGAAGAGCAGAAGGGAGCCGCAGTAGCTGTATGGTAAAGCCAAGAGAGAATGGGTAATGGAACCTGGGAGCGAGCAGGGGAGCGGAACCGCGACTCAACGTCAGGCGGCAGTCGGCACGCTAGTCAAGAGGTAGGGCTGGGTGGCCGGTGGGTTAGGCTGCGGCGAAGGAGAACAAAGTACCAATCGGGCCTTGAGCTCAGTGATGTGAATGCAGAGATTGGTTTCAGCCGCACGCCGAATGTGCAGCGAGGCTTGGGTTGAGTCTGGGTGGTTGCTGATGTCCAAGGTAGTAGTTGCGGTCGTAGGTTGACTTATGGTGCTGATGATGATCGTTGTGTGTAAGGTAAGGAGATGACGAAGAGGGGGGAAAGCTATTATCTGGCCTTGTAAAACAAGACTGAACAGACAGCAAAGAGGTGGGAGCTCTCGGCAAACGGAAGACCGGACAAGACAGCTTCTCTTTTGGGGGTGCGCGGGATGGCGCGAGCGGTGATGTTGCAGGGAAGGTACGTGTATTATTGATGACGGGAGGTGTTGGAAGAAGCCGAAGGCTCGGTGTGTGTATGAGTCGGGGCCTGGGTCACGTCACGAAACAGATTGAACAGAATCGGGTACAATATGCAATGCGCAAGCGTTGTGGCGGTTTACGGCTTCGCGGTGCGCTTGAGAGATTGCGAATGGATAAAAAAAGGACACCATAGGCCAGCGGGCGTGCGGGAGACGGGATGAACAGGCGATGGTTTGCAAAGTCAGCCTCTTGAGTGGATGTGTGCGAAATTGCATTTCTGGGGATACGGGCTAAAAACAGAACAAGAACAAGCTCCAAATGAAATCTTTGCTCGCTTTGGAATTCTGATGCCTGTTCTTGCTCCTTCCCTCTTACTTTTTGATAACTAAGTTGGGTACCTCACGGATACCAGGCACCGGGGAAGGGACGGATACGCCAGGGCCGCCTGCCTCTTTCCCGATTCTGGTTCCATATTTCTGTACGTATTATTCTGTCTTCCTTCGTCATCTCTCGACTTCTTTCGGCAATTTGCCATTCAGTCAGTCAATCGTCAGAGTCGCCCGTCAGAGTCATTGTCAGTCAAGTCCAACAAGTCAGTGCCCAGCTCGGTTTCGTGGCCCCGCCACGTTCGCCTGCTGTTCCTGGTTCTGTGGCTATCGGGTGGATTGACCAAGCCAACGCCGCGCCGGGGGCTTGAGGGGGGGGGGGATGCGAGCTATTGATTGAGAAAGGCAGACAGGACGGGAAGAATACCCATTGCAATCACAGACAACATTGAACACTGAACGTTGTAGACCTCAAGGAAAAGATACGGGCAGGTCCGCGCAAATCCCGTCAGAAGAAAACACCCACGAGGGCTCTAGCGCGGGACAGCTCTGCGACATACGCGCTTAGCGTACGGATAGTTCGTATCTTCAATACCGTTATTGCTAGCTTGGCCTAGCTTACCCTTCTCTGTCATTGTGTGGGCGATGACATGCGTGGTACACTACGGAGTACTTACTTTTGTTCCCTGTATCCACTCAACGGCCCCAAGGGGTCTTTTCTTCGTCTCGAGACCGGGTACGTGATACGATCCAGATACAGATCGAGACGGGAGCCGTAGAAAGGGGTCCTGCGTAGTCCTGCACACTTTAAATTCCAGCCTGGAGCCTCCGTCTTTTTTGCTTTTTCTCCCCAATCATTGCAATCGCTCACCGACCACGCTGTGCATCCCAAAGGCTTCAGCTCGATCATCAGACAAGTCCTGCCTCGGAACAAAGCCTGAGAGGTGCAGGATACGGTATATTCCGTACCTTACGGATACTTGCCGTATTGAGTAAGTTTTGACAGGATTCAGGACTGGGAATGAACGTTGGACCATGCGTTAGAGGGGTACGTATACACGTAATTGAGAGTAAGGTACCTATTACCTTAGGTAGGTAGGGTATCTATCTGAATGTCACTTATTCCTCACAACTCCGGGCTCTCCCGCACACCACACTGGACACACACTTGAGGTGACGGGAAAGTCCTCGACACTACACCATCGGGCCGGGCGGCATGACAACCATCTGAGATTGAGCTGGTGGTTGAGGTGTATCCCCATTTAAGCTTATTTCACCATGGCACGTTCACTCGCCAGCGCCCTGAGGTGAGATGATCTGGCCAGTTGGCAGGTGTCCGGCCCTGTTACCTAAGCCTCGCACCAGTAATCACCTCACTCATCAGTGTCCAAGTAAGCTAAGGTAGTTTGACCTTATGGATCTTGCATGTGGACAACTTCCATGCGCCTCATCTCTGGGTCCTGCTTTGAGGCCCTCTCTTTCGTCTTCGAATCATCGTGTAAGCGTGACCGTCCACAGTCAGCCCGTACCACCCTAACATCCTTCCCTTTCCCCCCTTCCCTTCCCTTCCATTGAGTCTGCGAGTCTGCCCTGCCTGCCCCACCACAGCCCCGGCACCAATGCCCCTCCCCAGAACGCCGAGCCTCCAGCACGGGACGCCGGCAAGCGGGATTGCGTATGCTTTCCAGCTTTTTTTGCAGATTCGCGGCCATCAACTCGACCTGCCCGTTCGTTCTCGATCACTTGGAACACCTCCGTCTCCCTCTCCAGTCTCCCATTTCTTCCCCGCCTTCTCATTCCAAAATCGTATGTACCGTGATCTCCTTCTCTTCAAGACCACGCCCCGATTCGATTCACTTTACCCTACGAAGTACATAGGCCCGCCACTTTGACTTTTCCGTCTGGCCCGTTTTAGACCCTCCGGTCCCCTCCCCTTCTAGAACACTTCCTCTTTCTCTTCCTCTTGCTTCTCTTCCTCCTCCTCATCATCTTCCTCGTCCACCTCTCTTCGTTACCCCTCAAAACTGACCTTTCCCGCCGTGTTCTATTCTGCCTGTCTGCCTGTCTGCCTCTCTGCCTCTCTGCCTGTCTGTCTACCTATCTCCAACATGTGTACGCGCGGCTCCATGCGGTCCCCTCACACAACTCCCGCCTCGGCCCTTGCGGTTTGCCGCTCTGGGGTGCCACCGACGGCTTTCATAACTTTTGGCCCTCACACACTTGGGCAAGTGCCCTGAGAGATCGATCCGAGCTGGATCGCCGAGCTGTCTCTGCCGTTTCTCTGTTGTGTTTTGTGTGTGCAGGGCCCGAAGCGAGTTACACGGGAGTGGGACTGATTTGCTCAAAATTCCTCCAGGCTTTAGCATCGTGAACGCCAGTCGTAACACGCTTGTCCAGTGTAGGTATTCAACCTCGAGTCCACGGTGGACAGCAACAACTGGGCTATCATTTCTCATATCCCGTCTCTTCGCCTTCCTCGCGTGGTACATCGTCTCAGACAGACTTCAAATCTACGACAGCCGGCATGGCCGACACCGACCTCTCCACCAACGGCAGCGGCGAGTTCTGGCTGTACGGTTATGGGTACGTTTTCGACCCTTCGAGTTCACCCTCGATCCCTGCCGCTCTCCCTACTGGGCTGGACTGGGCTGCTCTTGTCCTCCAGCTCCTCCCGCCCTCCCGCATGGCGCATGCATCCCTGCCTGCCGTAGACAAGCCTCACACACGTCGGTGCTAATGTTACAAACCCCGTCCTCTAGGAGTCTGATATGGAAGCCTCCGCCGCACTTCGGTTAGCCTCACCTCGTCCACACCACACCCCCCCCTTCTCGCCTTCTCCTTCTCCTCCTCCTGCCCCTTGCCGCTATCCGAGCCGTTGGCTGATCTGTGTCGTCCACCCCCACAGATAGAAGAATCCCTGGTTGGGTGACAGGATACGTCCGTCGCTTCTGGCAAGTTCGTCTCTCCCTTCCCTCCTCCGGACGTGCCGTCTCATCCAGCCCCGTGGGACACAAGGCCACCTTGCGTCCCTAGTGCCCGCTGCTACCAATGCTTATTTCCACGTCATGCCCTGCCTTCCCCTCGTCTCCACTAGTCTCACTAACACCTTGCGCAGGCAAGGTAATCACTTGACCCTCATGAGGCTTTATGACTTCTACCATCTGCTCTCATCTCGGGACGTTCTGACCCCTTCATCAGTCAGGACCACAGAGGCACACCCGAGGCTCCCGGCCGTGTCGTTACGCTCATTGAGCGTTCGTTCTGGGAGCAGCTAACCGACCACCACGACTCGGCACCTGAACGTGTCTGGGGTGTCGCCTACCGTATCAAGGCAGATAAGGTCGCCGAGGTCAAGGACTATCTTGACATTCGCGAGATCAACGGCTACACGATCCATTACGCCCCTTTCTACCCTGCTGATGGTTGCGAGCCAATCCGCACACTTGTGTACATTGGCACCCCGGACAATGACCAGTTTGTCGGCCCACAGGACCCTCAGGCTCTCGCCGCCCATATCCGCAAGAGCCGCGGCCCGAGTGGGCTGAACATCGACTACCTTCTTGGTCTCGAAGAAGCTCTTGACGGACTGAGCCCGGAGAGCGGCGACGTCCACATCACCGACCTCTCCAACAGAGTACGGGCCATCATCGCCGCCGAGGAGACATCGCACGATGCTACGCAACCACCGTTGTCAGCCGTCGGCGGTACCTTCAAGCAAGAAACCAGTGTCAAGGAACAGGAGGAGACGGAAAAGACAGACTGAAGAGTTTTTCTGCACATTCTTTCGCCTCTTCTTTTTCTTTCTTGAAAACCAAGCCTCTGCCAACCCACCCCCTTTTTTTTTTTACCTTTCCCCTTTGTCCGTGGTGCAACAACGCCTTGGAGCCATGTCAACCAACATTCTTGTTTCAGATCATTCAACACATAGAGAGACAATCAAGAGAGACAATCAGCCAGACAAGCAGCGTTAGACCACAAATCCGTTGGCGTCCACGATGAATCCGACAACACTCTGCATCATTCCCAAATACCAACCGACATCACCCCCGCACACTCCCCACAAGGATCACCGGAAAAGGAACCATCACCGCATGCGGAAAACACACCAAAACTTGGTGGCAGCAAACCGTTTTGGGGCAACAAGAATGAAGATCAATGACAGAAGCAGAAAACCATTCCATTTGAGAAGACTAGGCCGTTACCAACCCTTTTGACCACGGGTTGGGGTTTTATTTTCCAGAGATCCAGTGCAACAGAAGAACCGGGTATTGTGTTGCAGCGAAGAATATCACCAAAGCTCGATCGAACCAACGGGCGCGCACACGAACGTCTGTCAGACTCGGAGCAGTTGAGCGTCGGCAACATGTCTTGGCCGCATGTTCCCGAGTTGCGAAAACCGACAACTAGCGGGCAACGAATCTCCGAAATCTAGCGAGCACTAATAGCCTCGGCCGCCCTGGGGCTGCTGAGACGGGTCCGCGTATCCGTAGGGAGCCTGGGGCGCGTAGCCATCTATGAGGTGTTAGCAAGCTGAACCAGCAACAGAGGCGGCATCGTCAACTCACCCTGGGGAGGGGCACCGCCGTAGGGCTGCTGAGGGGGGTAGCCGCGGCCGTAGGCAGGCTGCTGCTGCTGGTAGCCCATGTTGGGAACGCCGTATCCACCGGGAGCGCCTCCGTAAGGCACAGGGGGCGCGCCGTAGCCGCCACGTCCACCGCCGCCGCCGAAGCCGCCACGGTAGCCACCGCCACCTCGGGGACCGTTGTCAGAGGCCTTGTCAACGCGAATAGTGCGTCCGTCAAACCTAACAAGTTGATGTGTCAGTCGGCTGGAGAATTCCCACGATCATTGCGCTGGGACAAGCAAGCAATGGAAAGCAGTTTCGCAAAGGCAGCGTACTCGACGTTGTTCATGGCAGCAATGGCCTTCTGAGCGTCACTATCCTGAGTGTAGCGGACGAAGCCGAATCCACGGCTGCGGCCAGTGTCGCGGTCCTTCACAACGACCTTCAAGAAGGGAAAAAATAACGGTCAGATCTCTCTCTCTCTCTCACATACACTCTCTCTCTTTTCTGTTTTTACTGGAGTGTTGGGACAAAGTGTCTCTCCATGGTCTATGGCGAGGCCATTCTCAAGAAAGTTTCTTCGGACCGGACGATCAGTACTTACAGCTTCCTCAACGGCACCAAACTCCTCGAACTTCTGTCTGAGGGTGCCTTCCTCAGTGTGCCATGCAAGGCCGCTGTTGGAATTCTTGTCAGCAAAAGTTTGTTTGACATTGTTGATGTGGACAATGCGCCAGCGCAGAGAGGGGGAAACGTACCCAATAAAGAGCTTAGACATGATGATGGTAGAGTAATGTCTTGTTCCTTGCAAAGAGATTGCTGAATTATCTGCTTTTCTTGCGAGTTAGGATCTGTTTAACAAAAAGGTCCGAGGGAGGCTGCAATGCATAAATGCAAGTGGTTTCTGAGTGGCGCCAAGCGGGGTTCTTGATGGCGAGAGAAGCAGGTCAAGGGACGAAAGCGCTCTTTTTGGCACTTCTCGGTTGAGGATGCGAGTCAACATTGGGAGACTTCGCATCCACCTGTGCAGCAAAGAGACGAGGCAGTGTCCAGTGATAGCCTTTGTCACTTGACGATAGCGCGCAAAGTGGCCCGACATGGGCGACAAAGCAAACGTACAATTTCCAGGCCGGAGGATGGCAGTGCGAGATGGAGAGTAGATGGGGTTGTGGGCTGTGTCAAACAAAGAAGTTTGCAGGCGTCGCCACAGGATGAGAGAAGAAAAAAGAGAAGCCGTCGACCGTTGGGAGAGGCTGAGGTGTGTATTGATGTGTTGCAATTTTTTTTTTTGCCGAGGACAGTGAAGGATTGAGGGAAGCGAGATACGGACCTGGTGGTTGGAATTAGGTGGGCGGTGTTGGTGTTGGTAGTAGGAGTGGTGATTGTGATGACAGACGTCAGGATTGAGACTGGGCTTTGATGGATCGAAAAAAGGAAGGAGGGGGTGAGAAGGAGAAGAGTGAGAAAGGCCACCTTGAGGGGACAGAAAGGAAATGCTGGTTAGCGGGAAATTTCTGAATGGATGGAGGGAAAGGGCGTTGAGGCAGTGCAAAAAGGGCCCCAAGGCAAGGCAGGTAAGGTTTGGTGTGTATGAGTGTGGGAGTGGGAGTGGAAGGCGAGTTGACTGGACAGGAATGGCTGCCGTAAGGCAAGGTAAGGTAAGGAAGGTAAGGTAGGCAGGCGGGGTGGATTGAGTACCAGAGCAGAGCAGAACGGAAGGACTTGGATGGAAAGGTCAGGTAAGGTACTCCGTTACCCGTACTCCGTACTTCGTACCTTACACACAGCAAATGGGAAGAGGCAAGGTAGGAGCGGAACGGGGAACGGGGGGTGAACGGGGGACGGGGGAAGGTGAGGGGCACCAGCAAATGTTGCCTCTTGCTCTTGCTTCCTGAGGTGCAACATTTCGCATGCGAGGTATCCCCATTTGCGGCTTGCCGTCGCTGGTCCTAGCCAAGCACTTGTCTGTTGTCTTCCGTGCTTGTCGTCGCCGCCGCCGGCTGTCTTGCTCGGATTGGGACTGGAAGGCGCCGTGCGGGCACGATGCGAGATGGACAACAGCTCGTGGCGGGAACGTGGAGGGGTCCAACGAGTCGGGGCAAGTGGAGGAGGAGGGGGGGTTCAATTCAATTGACCGACAAGACATCTTGAATGACGGCATGCAAGGTACCTTTCCTCGCTAATGACTATGGCAAGGTACAATGGTAAACGGCAGGGTTGGTTGGTCTCGGCCTGAGGCGACAGAAACGGGCAAAGAGTAACGTGGGAAAGAATTGAAGAAGTACTCCGGAAACAGTTTAAAAATAAAATAAAAAAACGAACCGTATTCGTATACTTGGAAGAGACCGATAGAGAGGAAAAGAGATACAGAGAGCGAGGTAAGAGACGCGTCGAACAACGGAAACATACCTGTTTTTGATTGGATCTCGGCACCCAATATCTCGAGTCGAATTCCTGTGATGCAGTCGAAAATGCGTTGAGAGAAAAGTCGAGAAAGTGGAACAAAGACGCAGTAATATTCTCAGAGTAGGTAAATGGAAAAAGCACAATGCGGGACAAAAGCCGGTAGGAATCTTTTCCCTCTCCTCAATAAGTCAGACCAAGTACCAGATCCCTGACGGTAAGGTAGCAGTAGGCAAGGGGAATGGGGAAGAAAAAAAAAGGGCTTCGGAAGCAGGGACAGGCGCAGGTCACTGTTGGATTCGAATAATCGCGCTTTTCTTTATCGTTCTCTCGTTCCTTTTCCCGCGGTCTTCGGTTTGTCCCCCCTCCATCCCGATTCTGAGGCGCGTCCCTGTACCTCATCTTATATGCGATGGACACAGGATCCGCTGCGACGACTCCAGCAGCGGCGGCGGCGAAAACGAATAGGGATCAGAAGCAGGCCTGGCAGGCCAAGACCAGTGGTATTTTCGATACGTCTGCGATGTGAGCATGACAATATGGAAAACTGACTTGCCTGCGGTGAGGAGGGCATGTAGGTTGGGTACTCACGTATGGTACCTTGCCTCGCCCTGAGAGGTACATGCGTCTTTCTTACAGGCCCGCTTGCTTCCTGGATCATTGCCGCCGCCGCTGCTGTCGCTGTTGCTGCTGGAACGCCGCACACGAGGCAAGGGCCAAGACATCTGGGAGATCTGCCCGGGAAGAGGGACCCATGAAAGTCCATCCATGAACATCTAGTGTGGTGTCAAGGGGAGGGGGGTCCCTAAGAGGGGACCGCCCACATCCCAAATCCGGCTCTTCTGCGCAAGGGGGGGTTGTGGAAGGGAAAAGGGCCCAAGGGCCAACGCCCATCAATGTTTCGACCAGAGCATAAGTGTGGTAGCAGGGTTAGCTTCCCCTCCCAAACAAGCATCAAACAGACGAAAAGCTCACATGTACATCCCCGCGATACTTCTGTCATCCATGACCGTCTTTTCTCTTGCCGCGAGACATACAGCCCAGACGCGGCGCCGCCATTCGCATTCAGTCATTCTGAATCAGTCCAATCCAGCCAAGTGATATGGGATTACCCCCTCGACAGCATGCCGCCCGCCAGACCGTCTTCGGGTGGATGCCTTTTTGCGAAAACAACATATCACAGCTCTTTGGTTTCGATGCTGATACTGTCGTTGGCGCCGCGGGGTCCTGCTGTCGCGGCCTGGCTTCGTGGACGTTGTCGCGTTCCGTAGCACTCCAACTTTGACAACGCAAGACGAGACGCACGCACTTACGCACTCGACCTCCAGGCAGCTGCTCTTCTGAAGCGTTCTGTCCATTCTGTGAGCTTTCGTCCGGGGCTCATGCCCCGTCTGAATATTACCATCACCAAGAGCCAACGGCTTGTCGCTCGATACACACTCCGGTGCCAAGTACCCAGATGTCGAGCAACTCCACTGCTGCCCGTCCTTCGATACGGCTCATCATTGTGCCCAATGTGCTCACACTTGCGGTCGGCCTGACTAACCAAGCGCCTGCAAGTATAGTGGGATGAGATGCAGAGACCAGGACCACGGAAAGCTTCTTAAAACCCATGAACCCAGCTATTGCAGGGTGTGAGCAGGCGAAAAAAGGCTTACTACCGGATCGCAGGCGAGGGGGAAAAGTTCGGCCATGGGAAATCAGCCCATGATGTACGATCTAGCTGCCCCTCCTTGCAGCCAGTCGAGGATTTCGCATCCGCACAGACGCCGGCGCTGTTAGTCTTTGGAGAGCCGCTAGATACAAAGACGATGGTCGAGCCGAAGCTGGCAACGCCGAAGAGGGGCACAATGAGAGGCATAAGATAGACACCGTCGGCAGTCAGCCTGGATTTCTGGAAGTTGGTTGAGAAAGAAGAGGGAGGACAGTCGACAGGGTGGTATCCTGACAGCAGAAACAGATTGGCATCTGCGTCCGCCATGACTGCTGGTCGTGCTGGAAACACCTGCGAGGGACGACAGGCTTGGCCTGGTCACTTGGGGACACACTGGACCAAGAGTGACATTCCTATTCGACCCCACACTTTGCACAGCCTCCTTCGACCATGCCCAGTTTGAAGCAAGATGAACATCTTGGAGCTGCAACATCGTTCTCCAGCGTCCACCTTCTCCTGAAAGTGGAGTCATCTAGTGTTGCACCTCGCTGCAGAGCCTGCAGAACCGGTTCTCGACTCGGCTTGCATTCCCAGATGTGCGGCGTGACGGGCTCCGGGAGGCGGCCAATTCTGACTGATGCTCGAATGTGCGTCCCTATCCGTTTGATCTCGCCCGACCAGCATATTGCGACATTCGCCGCACCCGTGCCGTCGCCGCTGCCCTTGCTACGTCTTAGCGCAATCGACCATCCGTTTGCTGGCATGTTGGTGCCATGCGGCTGGCGACTGTGAATGCGGCCTTTATCCCACGCAGGCGGCAGGTGTCCCAGAGAAAGCCTGGATGACTTCGATCGTCTTCTCAATCGTCAAACTTGTCCATGGGTGGTGTCGGCCTGTAGTCCGTCCCTGGCTTGTCGTCCAATGCACTCCAGGGATCCAGCCATTTGCTCTCGTCACGCTACCCTCGTCAACCTCGGCTCGCCGTTCCGTCGTGACCTTGGCTTAGATGATTCTTTCTCATGCGCAGATATGTGACCAAGCAGTTTCCTGAGACGAGAATTCCTTTGCCGGCATTAACTACTCATGCGAGGCGACACGCGAAGCAGTCCGTCCTGGGAGAGCTCCAGGGCCAGCAGCTAACAAGAAGTCGGTAAGCAACCTCTTTTTGGCGCGCAAAACGCTCAATGCCGTCGTCCTTGAGGCTCCACTCCCCGCGAGGCACTGACCAGCGAGAGGCCCATGTGCAACCTTTTCGATGTGGGTGAATTTGGTGAAGTTGTGAAGTCAACCTCTTAATGTGGATGCATCTTGTGGTCCAAGTTCTCCATGCTTGTGGAGCTGGTCGATCCAGTGGAGACGTCGACGGCCGTCACCCCCTCTGTCGTATCGTCAACTTGGTTTGGCCATGACTGCCCCTCCCCCAAGTCACGCACGGCGCACAAACAACCCCTCAACTCTCCTCGACGTTCGACCTCGAGACATTCGGGACGTTTGGTACCTATTCGCCCGACAATTGCCCGTTTTGTGCGACGCGACATCGAAAAACCAGACAACCCTGAGCCGCTCCCCAGCCGCCAGCGCAACAGCGACCAGTAGCAATACGCCTTGGCGACGTCGAGCTCAATATTAGTCGCCGTCCTTGCGACTCAGGCTTTCAGCTTCGTTTCATCATCAACAATCGAACAACGCCGTCCTGGAAGAGTTTCGATGTCAACTGTATGATGTGTCGCAACATAGTGTCGACGGCTAGAGAACTCCATCAGTAGGGTCTAAAGTGGTGGAACCTTTAAACTACGTATCCATGGAAGTATAGCCGCCGTCATATGTCGCATGGGCCAGCGATTATGGGGGCCTTCAAATCAGAGATGGAGGGGCAACTTGGCCTCCGGAATGCCACCAGCAGGAAACCTAATGCGCATGTCCGCGACCCAGCCGGGAATACCAAGGTTTGGGGATGGCTCCATGCTCCGGCACCGTTTCGATTTTCACACCGCTTGGTCGCTGCTTTCATGATGAACTTTTGGCTTTCGCAAGTTGAGTAGAGCTAGTTAATAGACGCATGGCATACAGTCGTACGCTGGCTCGATGCGGACAGGGCTGGCGGTTGAAAGGAGCACGGGGTTGTTCTCTGGGGATCCCAGTGACATCCGAAACTGCCAGGGACCGTCTATAATTAAAAGGTCTTGACCGGACGGCGATGAAACTTGCTGCGCCTTCTTCAAGGTCCACATCCTGATTTTTGGTCGCAAAAGCAAAGAGCTTATTAGGGCCAGCGTCGTTATCGACACATTTGGGCAACTTGAGATACCGTTGCGCAATGACCTGTCCAGGGGGAGCTCTTGTAGCCACGTGCGTCGTCACGGACGATACGACCCTACGAAATGTCTCTTGAGCTGATCACCAAAGCTACTTGCATCCGGCTGCATGCGACTTCTTGGTTGCCCGATTCCCCGTCGATTCGGCATTGTCGCCCAGAAACTCTCAAAGAGGAGGCAGGATTGGCGACATAGAGCCCGGAGACAGTGTTATAGCTTCGGTAATCTCTGGCAGACTTGTGCTCCGCATCCTTTCAAACTCATGTGAGTAATGCAGGCACAGCTTCTTGCCGCCCTATTTGCATCGCTGTGAAGTGGATTTGTTGGCGGACCAGACGTGGAAAACGTGCGAGGTTCGTTGTGGCATATTTCGCGGCCACGGGCACAGAAGCCTACATGTCCAGCTGTCAAGCATCTGTCAGGACGGGTCGAGAGCGGTACGGCTTCCCCCATCGCCAAGGTGGTGCTATCAATAGAACTCGGCCGGGTTTTCGATACAGGGCATGTTCCGTCTCTACAGGGCCATGTCTTGGCATTCTGAGACAGCCGCAACTTGAGGTTCGCGTCGACTGCATATCAAGTGCGCCGGCCAGCCGGTGATGGTTGTCGTCTGACCCAAGAAAACAAGGCGGAATGGATATGGTGTCATGGTGCCCGACGATGCCCTCCACGCGGGGTTTCGCGCAGTGAGCTGTGCCAACTTGTCCCACCTGCCACCGTGGGTGCGTCGAATCACGGCTTGGCCAGAATCAGAGCCTGGTTCGAGCCATGACCTGCTTGGCCGTATTCGTATGAACAAGTTGCAGGTTCTAGGAGTTTTCCCAGCGTCGTGGGCAGGCGCTCATTTTCTCTTCAGCTCACTTGCCTTACACACTGGCATCATAGGCAGTGCGGGTTTCGCGCTCGAGGTTGGCCTCTCATGGTTTATCTGAAGGACATAGTTCAAGTTGGTTCCAAGGTCGGCGGCAAATCTCCCTCGCAGACCTGGTAGCAAATCACCGAGATGAGAAAGCTTGCAATGCTCTGGAAGGCGTTTGTGCAGAGGTGAAAAGCTACTCGACAACGTGGGCCTGGACGGGACTGCACCTATTAGCGAATACTCTTTCCGAATGATAGCTGATGTCAGCAGATCTACCGTTGAAAAGCTCGCATGCTAAGTGGCACCAGGTCGATTGGCTCGGCGGAAACAATGGTCTCTCGGTTGTGTGCGAAAAAGATATTGCATGGAGAGCTTGGAGACTAGAACCGACAGTCTTCAAATTTCGAGTGAGGTTGAATCCGGCCCACTTTCATCTACGTAAGATAGGTACCTTAATTAATGGAAGGTATTACCGTACGTCAGATCAGGATGGAAGGACCTTGGCCTTTGGGCTAGAGCCTAGAGCTTTCGTGCTTGCCCTATCTGGTTTGCACAGCAATCTTAGCGCCGAATATCAAGTAAACAGTTCCTTCCCATGTGGGAACATCAGTCGACCTCCACATTGACTTTAACCTGCCTTACGTGGGCGAGGAATCTTATCCTTCGCCTTGCAACAGAAACGGAGGAAGGACCGAGTGAATTCGGGACTGGGAGAAGAGATTTCATTCTCAGGGTAAGGGGTGTTGATATCTTTCACACAATGTGGATAGCTATTGCCGCCTGTAGGCCGATTTCGGCTTCCCCAAGAACGTGCTTTCTAGGGAGATGTTTGGCGTCGGGCTCAACCTTCAAGGCTGGAAACCTCCAGACTACATGTACCCGCCATAATTTGCTCTTTTGAAGTTCTTTAAACAGCCAGTCTCTATGAGCTCCAAGGCTGCGTGAAAACAAAGCACGATGGACAGTCGTGCGGCCAAGGATCATCAACTGGACCTGCATCGCCGCCAGTACCGTCGCTCTGGTGACAGACACGTCACAACAAGGCACACACAACTTGTAGAACCATGGACAAGCCTTTCTAGGTCGAGAAGGGTGGATCAGGCGCCGGAAAACGATTTACTCCAAGCCGCAAGAAGTGGCAATGGCATTGTGGAAGACTGGCTTGCCAATGTCAGTCGTCGAGGCGTCGATACTAGAGAGTCTGCAGAACGACTACAATCAAGTCAAGACAAGAGCGGTGCTCAAACTCCAGGATGGAGACCGCACGGGATTTCCTTCCAGGACACTGTTCGAGGTAGTCATAAACGCGCCCTATCACGAGACAGCTCCATCATCCCCGAGCCGATGACGAAGAAAGCCAGGCCATCTCCAGCGTTACCTAGCCATGGCTACATCCATCGCTCTCTCGTTCCACGTGTTACAGACTTTCCCATACCAGCAGATAGTTCTCCGGCCAGATTTGAGAGGCGGACGAGACACAAAACAAGAGAAGATCGTTACGATTCTCGGAAGAAGCCCAAGGAAAAGCGACGCAGGGCCCCTGAGGAGACTGCCACGCGGTCGGAAATAGCGCTGAAGAAGTCAATTTCATCGGGCCGAGACGTCATGAACAGCTTCCAACCCGAAACCGTTCTTAACGACAGACTCACGGTGAGGAAGCATTAGATTTCCGAATAAATCTTTGTTGACGAATATGTAGCTCCAGCCGTGCCTGACCCCAGGCCTCTTTCAAAATGGGCGGGTATCTTCGACAAAGCCTGGTAAGTTGATTGATCTAGACGTTCAGAATGCTCAACTAACTGTATTAGTTGGAGACCTAGCCTACAACTCCATGGGTTCGGTCGAGCAGCCTCAATCACGCGAGCCCTCGTGGCAACGACAGCAGCGCTTAGAAGCCAAAGCCAGACAACGGCGAGAGACTGAGCTGGTGGAAGTATCAGCGTTCCTTCGTCGCAAGAAGACGCCTACAACGGGACACCCAGACACCAGCCGAGAGCGAACTCGTGACGGCTACGAAGGTCAGAAATTGAGTGACAAATTACCTGAGGACGTTCAGGCATGGGGCGATCGTTTGTCAACTAGAAGCATTACGATGTCAGATTCTTTAAGAGACGACCAACGCTACCATATCTACGATAAGACCTACGTCGCGCCAGCTCGACACGTTCGGTCAAGCAGCAGAGCTACGACTTATGTCACTTGGGCCACCGGTGGCAATCATCAAACATCCTTACCATGTAACTCCTTCGACCGACACCACAGTAGTACCCCTGAGCCGATCAGAGAGGCGCTTCGAGAGACTGGTGTATTCGATGGTGCTGGAACAAAAAGGAACACTCATGTCTCGTCAAACGATTCGTGTCGACGTAGGCAAGAAGTGCATCCTGCTGCAGAGTCCAAGAACTTCGAAGCTTCCCTGGAACAGCCGATGATTATTCGATATTTGGACAAGGGAGTCATGACTACAGACGAACCACCACCGTCGCCTAGCATTTTGGAGCAATCCAGGAGTTTGCCGGCCGCTCGCGATTCTTCTGCGCCAGAGAGCACGGCCGATACGAGGGCGGAGGTCTTGGTGGGCTCTGCTGCAGAAAAAGCGCTGAACGAGCCGCCTGGCGGAGATATACCCAAGAACTCCAACGAAGGATCCTGTCGTAAGACTTCCACTCCCACGACGCGAGCATCCACAGCTATGCAAGCATATTTAGTGCCACTTTCCATCGACCTTTCTGTGAAAACGCAAGCAACACCAGAGAATAATTTCCATGAAGCAAAGACGAGCACACCAATCATTACTCAAGCTATTATGTCAGTAGCTGAAGAAAGTGACGTATGTGCTAAGGGTGACGCCGAGCCCGAGCATGAAGCAACTGTTGATCAGCCTGATGGGCAGGTTTTGACGCCAGAACTATCTGCCATGCCTTCAGTGCCTTGCTGGCAACATATAGGAGCCCCAGATACTCAGATTCCGTCTGGAGGGGAAGAAACGAACCGCTCTGCCTTCCCCGAAGAAGAACCACTTGACCACAACCTCTATGATCATCTAACCTACAATATTGATCGCAGGGAAGAAATCTGGCGGCCACGATTGTTTTCACAGGCTACACATCTGGCCAGTCAACCAAGGAAGCCTCATCATGTGTCTCGCCTCCAAATAAATGGTCATGGTCCTATGACCAGATTCAACCCGTCTCAATTTCAACAGTCGGAAAGCGTAATCGATTTCATTGCCCGCGTCGAACAAGAGGTGCTGGGACCTGAGAGCTTAGAATACTTGGACAACTCCCCCGACGAGGCTCACATATGGGGCCATGATGATCCACTCGAGGTGCCTTCAGACACATTCAGAGGGGTTCATTCCCCGATGCCTCGGGATGCGCCTTCGACCAACCAAGCCCTCGCAGATCCCGGCTGGCGACACTTGGTAGACGCATTTGACCAGATGGAAGAGAAGCCGTCTGAGATCAGATATCATAGCGAACGACCCGATCAAAATAATCAATACCGGGTACAGCAACTAGCAAAACAGTCGAAGGACGAAAAGTACGACAAAGACGAAAGGGAGGAAATGCTCGCCTTCTGGCGGCCAAACTACTTTCATTAGCGACATAGTCTACTCAGGCTGCTGGTCCTTCCATTTCGTTCGGAGGCTTGCCACGTCTATATCACATCTTTCTGCTTTGGCAATTATCGCTTTCGCTTTTCCAGTCACCGGTGCGTCGATCATCATACCGTCCAAAGTCCAGGCTCCACGGCCCTCATTGCTAGCTTTCTCGTCTGCGATTGCAACGCGCACTGCCCACTCGACCTCCTTTTCGCCAGGGGCAAACAGTTTCTGGACAAGTTCCACCTGGTTTGGGTGTATACACTGCTTTCCGTTGAAACCCATGGACTTTCCTCCGGTAGACTCCTCTCCCAATCGCTTGAGGCCTTCTTCTCCCTTGTAGGAGGTACAGACAAGGTCGATAGCACTAGGTAAGCTGGCGGCCTTGGCAGCAGTTACAATGGCGGAGCGTGCGTAGAGGAACTCAGTGAGGGATGGCGTTCTGGTCAAAGATAAATCCAGGGCAAAGTCTTCGGCCGCGAAGATGAGACCGCTAAGGTATGGCGAAGCTTTGCAGATTTCCGAAAGGTTCATAACCGAACGTGCAGACTCGATCAAGGCGATGATTTTGATGGGATTTTGTGATGTCGCCGTGTGTCGTTCAGGGGCTACATGACGCAAAACATCGGTAACGTAAGTCAAATCGGCAGCGGAGTTGACCTTGGGAACAACGACAGCATCGATATTTGGGAGCGAGCCTAAAGATGTCAAGTCGTCCAGAGCAAACTTGGTCTCCACTGCATTGATTCGAACAGCCAATTCGGCTATGGAAGACGGCCGCGACTTATGCTTGGTGAGGAAAGACCGCAGCTGCCCTCGAGCCTCTGACTTCAATGAGGGTGTCACGGAGTCCTCAAGATCATATGTCACGTTGTCGGACTTGAGGCCCAGCGACTTGGTCAGCATCTTTTCCGATGACGAGGGCACTAGACTCGTCAGTTTAATTCTAGGTTGTCGGAGTCGCTGTAATCACCATAAAGCAACGCCCGGCGGACAATTGAAGAGGACCTTGCCGCCATGATGGATAGATCGTCGGATGCAATGCTACACCTTGAGATTGTGTAAGCCGTAGCCTATCACTCTTGAATTGATTAGAAAATTGGTTGAAGCAATGAATGATCGCTTCTGATTTTGATTGAGGTGATTGGTAAGTCTAGACACGACGAGAGTCTCGCAGCTCTTGAATCTCTGGCGCAAGCAGGTTGATGTTATTTTAAGGACCAATACTCGGTAACTCGAGTTCGGAACGGCTAGCTGGAGTCGGCTACTTGGATGCTACCCGCACATGGCAGTGAAGCTGGGGTGCATCTGATGATGTAATGCGAGCACTGGTCGGGACCTGTCATTTCTGCCGGGCCAGACCGCCAATGGACCCCTGGACATCGGAAGCGCTAAGAATGAGGTGGATCCCACGCACCAGCCGGCCCCATGGCGGAATAATTCAGCCTCCACCCGCCGAACAGCTTACCGTAGCTTCAACGGGTCCAGGCCAGTGGACGCGCCTGGGAGGACAGCCAAGCTGGAATCCACGCCTGCCCTGCGGCTCGCGCATTACGACAGCTGTACCGTAATGAGTTTCTGGCACTTTTTTCGAACAGTGCATCCCTCTCGTCCCCTCGACTGTCATCGGAACCACGACATGCGCACGACGACGAAGACTAAGCCAAGCCCCTGATTGCGTCGATATCACCTCCCATTGACCGAAAACCGAAATTGAGCAATTGAAGTTGCAAAGATACGATACCTGCCTAGTGTGACGGACCCCCATCGCAACGAACGATCGTCTTAGTCGAGACGCCCGAGATGGAATCCCAACAGCAGCAGGATGCGCCGGGCTCCTTGAGCTGGCGGTTGAGCTCGCATCCCATCACCCTCTTGACCTTTCTTGCATTTCGGATATGTTAGTTACCCACCAAGCTTCTAGATTCCTTTTTACTGCCTTGGTTTTTACTGGAACCTTGACTGACATGCTCTTGTGCTGGAACAGCAAGTGTACTCGTGTACTTCCTCGGTCTGTGGATCATCAGAAGCATGTACGTCGTCGCCAAGCTCCTCCTCACTTCTCGAACCTCGAAACGAAACCAATCCTACAAAGCACCTCGACCTCGTCGAGCCGTTGTCTTCATCCATCAAACATGCCTGGGCCAAGATACTCACGTGCCCACACCCACGGCGCTCGTCGCAACAAACACTATCCCTACGTTTGTCTGCTCCGTTTGCTAACCATACTTCCTCCTCAGGATCATGATCTTCATCATCACCATCCTCCTCCTCGCCGCCGACTTCTACTACCTCAAGAACATTGCCGGCCGCCGACTCGTGGGACTGCGGTGGTGGAACGAGGTGGACGTGCAGACGGGCGACTCGCAGTGGGTCTTTGAGAGCAGCGAGCCCGGCACCAAGACGATCAACCCGACCGACAGCCGCTTCTTCTGGCTCGCGCTCTACGTCCAGCCCGTCCTCTGGATCCTGCTCGCCGTCTTTGCGCTCGTGAGGTTGCAGTTCCTATGGCTGCCGCTCGTTGGTGAGTTTGCCTTTCCTCGAGACATTTCTCTGCCTGATCCCTCGTCATCCCTTGGGATGATGGGGGGTAAAGGTTGTTCTTCTACAGCCTTCGTTGCGATGATTCCAGAGTTCTTCCCGGGAGAAAACAATGTCTCGATACTGGAGCAAATCGTTGCTAACTCTGTGGTGTGTCCTGCAGTCATCGCCTTGGTCCTGACCATCATGAACGCCATGGCCTTTTCGAGATGCGACAAGTTCAGCCACGCGTCCAACATGGCCGGAAGTGCCCTGTACTCTGGCGGTCTGGCGGGAAGCATCGCAACCGGCATGGTCGGCCGACTCTTCAACCGCGGTTAAAGTCATATAAACCCCCTTTGGGGTCGAGAGCACAATCCTTGGGGCAGGGAGAGGGTGTTGTTGGAGCAAGGGCTCAAAGACAAAGCACAGCCCGTTTTCGCCGCAAGGCCCGGACGAAAAGTGGGTGAGGTTTGTGATATTGCTATACCCAGCTGTATACTAGACATGTAAGCATGACCCGGAAGGTGTTTTTCAAACGATCAAAGGCTTTTTCTGTTTCTATTCTTTGAAAATTGCAGCATTGTGTGTGTGTGTGTGTGTGTGTTTGTGTTTGTGCTGTGAACGGTTCCTTGATTCTGTGAGGCAAAGTGCAACCTCTCTCTGCCTTGCAGCTTTCTGGTAACGTTGATGAATCACAAAGATGTTCATAGCCAAGGAACTTCCGTGCAATGAACCTCAAGTCACCATGACCAAATGTGTGTTGATTCACGGCTCAGCTCCAACAGTTTACATGCAAAGTACCAACCTCACTAGTCCATGGGCAAAGAGATCCCAAGGGAATGAACACCCGTAGGTCGTGGTAATGCTGATTTATTGTATTTCTTCATGAGTTTTGTTTTCTTCATACTTCATCTACTCTAACCCGCTGTCCCTTTTATCGCTTTTCTTCTCTCATGCCAAGCAACACCATAAGCCTCCGCCGCAGCAGTCCAAGCTGGAAGAAAGAGGACTATTGACGCTGCGGGGCTTTTGCCGTTAAGCATATATAGAAACAAGCGCTTGTTTATAAATCGCCAACAGAGACAGGAAGAGGCGCCTATAACAAATAACGCTATCCAGAACCCTCACCAAGTCATTTCTATTCATCTTCGCCAACCTGACTGAATTCTTGCGATGACTCAAACTTGATGTCGACGTCGTTCTCGCCCATGTCGAACAACAAGTCTGCCGGTATCTGCCGGGCACCATAGCCTGGATCACTAGAATTCTCTTCGTTCTCGAGAGACTCCTAATTCTTCGGACTGCTGCTCGCCTGGTCTCCCAACGGCGACGGTACACCGCCGCCGCCAGGCGTCTGGCCCCTAAGCGCAGTAGCAGCCGGCGCACTCGCGGGACTCCCCCGCCTCGAAACCTGGTTCCTAAGCGCGACATAACGATGCGCCTCGAGTCTCTTCTCCTCAAAAGCGCGGCTACGCTCGCGCTCCCTCTCGATGTTCTGCTTGCGTTCCGCAAACTCCCTGTCAACCTCGGCAAGCTTGGCATTCTTCTCCGCCGAAGTCTTGAGCTTCCTCTCGTACCGCCCGCAGACCTCGTCCACTCTACGCGCAGTCGACGGGGGCACGAGCTTGGGCGGCACATCATCGGGTCGACGGCGGGCAGAGTCGCCGTAGAAGCAGCGGAAAGTAACCTTGGTCTGGCTCGTCGTGTCGGCGGCGGTGCCCCAGACTACAATCTCATCGCCATCATAGAGCTGGACCCAGTTCTTGGATGGGCCGGCTGGGTTCTTGCAGTCGTGAGACATGAGCAGAACTCCGTTGAGAAGGACGCCATTTGTCGCCTTTGTGGACAGATAAAAGGCGAATCCTTTGCCGTCGAGACTCTTATCCCAAGGATGCTTGGTGACGTCTTTGGAGGGATCATGGCCGTCTTTCCATAACAGAATTTTGAGAGCGTACTTAGGCACCCGAATCTCCGTCTTCTGCTCGTAAATCACCGTGTTGGTCGGCCCACGTCCCCAAGACAGCAGTGAACTGGTCATGGGGACCGAAATGTCAGAGACCACTGACCCGGGGGCTGACTCCAAGACAGCGACGGCACGTTTCGGCCCATCGTCAGAAACAGGTACTATTATCTTCTGTGTGTCTGGAGGAAGGGTGTCTGGTAGCGAATCTTCCTCTTCTTCTTCTTCTTCTGGAGGTGCTGTCGCAGGAACATCCCATTCTGCACCCTCCACCAATTTCCTGTCGTCTCGCTTTAGTAAACCTCGATTCGTGTCGTCGATTGTAGATTGTTCTTCGGCGTGCATGGCGGGGACACCATTGCTTGGCGGAAAGTACTTGAAGGCAAGCTCCCATAATGGAGTCATTCCCGGACCAAACTCCTCTCCCCGGCTTTGAGCTGCCTTTTTGAACGTTTCGTATTGCAGTTGGGTCATCTCGGGATAGCGGAGATGCCATGTTTCGACATTGTTCTTCCAAAAATTCATCTTGTTGAATGGCCCGTCTATCTGGCGTCCAGACTCCAACCTCTTAATCTGCGGTACTGACGCGAGCAGGTTGAATTCCTCCATTTGCTTCTCCGCCAACGCGTCGAGGTTGCCCTCCGATTTCAGGCGCTTGAAGATTGGCTTTTCACGCGGCCGCGGTTCGAATTCGTCGCTTGTATCGAATGATGGCGGCTTCCGTTTGCTGGCGGTGAAGAATGAGCCGTTGACTTGACTAACGTCCGCCGACTTCATCTGGATATCGCTACCGAAATCGGTCGCCCCTAGACTTTGAGACGCAACGTTTTCAACCAGACTTCGAAGTTGATCCGCGGACTGGCCTTTGGCCGATGAAATGGACAATCGGACTCCGCCGCTGCTGTGTGACTTCTTGCCGATAATTGTCGAAACGTCACCGGAGTCGCAGCTATCTAGTATTTCCGTCTCTACACTCTCGTTGCCGAGAACGCCTGAGTCAGCCACTGGCAGGTTTAGTCGATTTGCCGGTATCGCTCCCTTACTCCCCACCGCAGACATGTTCACCTCTCCAAACAGTCTCGGACCAGCACCCTGTCCACGAGGGCCGAATGTGCCGTTCTCCTTTTCTGAGTCTTCCTCGAGAAAGTCGTTGACTATATCATCATCCACCTCGTCCTCCAGTGGTAATTCTGTATCAGGCAGATACCTTGACTGCCCTTCTTCCAGACTGAGTTGGGACGCGTTGACCTGCAGCTCTTCATCCTCGTCGGTGATTTCGTCAAAGGACTGGTCGTAGTTCGTCACAGATCTTAGCCTGTATGGTCCTAACCAGGGATGTGACTGAAGGTCGCGGACAGTCGCTCGGCATTCTGGCCGTTTCTCGAGCATGTAGCACAGAAACTCAATGCCTTGCCTGGAAACGTTCTGTCGCACCAAAGGGACCGTATTAAGGGGCACCGTCATGATGGTATGCAGCAGCTCCGAGTAACTGACACCGTTGTTGACTGGGTACGGGGGGCGGCCTGTCAACGCATAGAAGAGCACGCCACCGAGCGACCAGACATCAACGGCGTGGTCGTATCGCTGTCCAACCGCCGCGCGCTTAGCTCTATTACGAGGGTGTCGGCGGCCGTCGTCGTCGTACTCGGCATACTCCGAGTATACCTCGGGCGCGCAATACAACAGCGTTCCACAAAATGTTCGGAGGAAGGTTTGTTCGTTATCGACCATCTTGGAGAGGCCAAAGTCGGTCAGTTTCACCTCGAAAGGGTCCAGCGATGAGATGAGGATATTGTCTGGCTTGACATCTCGATGCGTAATGTGATTTTCGTGCAAATGCGCCAAAGCACTCAGCAGCTGGGCTGCCATCTGCTTGACGTTAATCTCATTCAGACAGCCTCGGCCGCTGATGAGCTTTCCCAGGTCACCACCTCCGACGTACTCCATGATGATGATGAAAAGACGATTGTCCCAATCGAGATGCTCGATGTAGCGTACAATGTTCGGCTATTTGGAGTTAGAGGGGCTCAACGTAAGAAAAGGTGACGCATTGTAGAACTTACGTGCTGAACCTTTTGCATGATTCTCATCTCATTTTCCACCTTTTGGTCCAGAACACCGTTTTTGATGAACCGCCTCTTCTCTAGTTCTTTGGCGGCGTATGGGACACCGTCGAACTTGGACGTGACCTTGTACACGACCGCAAAGGCTCCCTTGCCGATCTGGCTGACACGGTTGTACCTACCGGATCCGTCCCAGTCTCTCGGAAACCGGTCGACGTTATCTTGCGTGGTTCCGGACGGCAGCGCTATCCGCCGTGTAGTCGCCGTCTGCGGTCTTCTAGGGGCCGAGAACAAGTCGACATGCCCACCAGGACCCGGCACCAATGTCTCGTTGACGTCCGACGCGCGCAACCCTTCCATCTTAGCAAAGTATCGCTGGAGTTTAATGTTGTACGCCCTTTCGTAATCACCCACTCGCTTCGGCATCCTGACCATGAACTCGAGGTCGTGCTGCTCGTTGTGCATCAGCACCTTGATCTTAGAACCGTGACTGAGCACCCTCTTCATGTCGCACTTCTCGTTGGGGCTCTTAGGCTTCGACCGCAGCAGCACCTGGTCGACAAAGGTCCCGTTGGTTGATTTATCCTCGAGCATGACCACACCGTACTCATTAACATAGATGCGAAAGTGAACGTTGCTCAGGCGTTTCATAGGGTCCTTGAGAAAGCAAATATCGCACCGAGCCCCATTCCTGCCAAACAGGAAACCGCGAAGGGGATCCTTGGTCTCGGCCGACAACCTCAGTATGATGGCATGTTCGACGCTGGGCGGCGTCAGCTGGAATTGGTCGGCCGTGTCTTCCCTTTCGTAGTCGGGCTCAACGGCATCCGCTTCCGCCCTGCCGACGACATGAGGCGAGCGTTCCCTTGCTATGCGTTCTACTTCGCCTCGGGCAGATTTAGTGTGAGGGTAGAGGAGGCAGACAATGTCGGATATGTCTTCGTCGGAGAAGCCCGAGTTCTGCTTGCCTATGCGGCGCGGATCAAGAACATTCTGGGTAGCTGAGTGGCGAAGAGGGGAAAAGGGTCAGCGTCCTGGTCTATTGGGTGTACGGCGACGACTTGCTCGGGGCTCAAGATGGGATGAAATGAAGGGGCATGGCATACCTTGGGTGGGCTGCGACCCATCACCCTCCATTGGGACCACCGGAGAGGATCGAAGCTGGTCAAGCTCGTCTAGGCTGCCGTCGTCGACCGCAGGCTTGGGTTGACGGACGGCCGGCGCTGGAGGGGCGTCGGTCGAGATGCGCGGCCAGGAAAGATGGTTTCGCAGCTGGAAAGGAGAAGCTGGCGATGCATTTACTGAATGTGGGCGAATGAAACGGTAATCGATGTTGGGATTATAGAACGATGTCGATGTTGAAGGATGTCAAGCAAGTCTGTACTATTTGCGCCGTAGGCTTTAAGGGGGAAAGCGTGGACTCGATGGTTCGCAAGGGCGCCTCGTTTCTCGACGTTCGATGTAGGGGGGATGGTGGTAATGGTGGTTGTGGTTGGGTATATGTTCGTCGTGGGTATGCGCGTCGTTCGCCAGGAAGTTGAGAAATTCGGAGGAGGCAACCCCCCAAAAAAGATGTTGGTGTACCTTGCCTTTGCCTTATTGCGCTGTAATCGATAATGCGATGGGCGAGG